TTTGTTGCTTCACTTGTCTGTTTCTCTTACTGTGTGCTTCTCTATCTGCCTACCTGCCTATATCCACTTAAGTTTATTTATTGACATCTTGAGTCTTGCTGAATTAACTCTAAATTGATTTTATACAAAATGGCAAGTGAGTTTTTATAAAAAGCTCCCTTTTTATAATGCCTAAAAAGAAGTATAACAATAAATTTAAGCTTAGTACTTTACACAAAACCACCTTCGCCTTATTGTATATACCTTATACAAATAATTAATTATCCATAATAAACAAATAGTACATAGAACACGTTGCGTCACATATCGTCACGTGCGGCATACTCAGTCGTAGCGATTAATATCCGCGGGTGCCTCATATTCAGTCATGCACCTGTCGCCTTATTACTTACTGCATCTAGCAGATGCTGTTTGACATCCATAAACTAAAGCTTACTGAACGTATGCATAATTATTTATATTATTGCTTAAAAGTAATTGTACGATATTTCATGGAGTGAATTTTTCTAGTACCTAAATTATGACTTTATAAACCACAACTTTATCAATGTAGGTCTGTAATTGAGGATCAAAGAGGATCATCGTAGCTTCATTGAAAGTTGACGTTAGAAGACAAACTCAAGCCTGGGCTGGATGTTAAACAAGCCTTTCTCGCATCTGTTAGATCAGCAGTCTCGTTGTTTGTAGATCTAAGGATTTCACTTACCAGACTGCTAGATTTGTGAGCAGGTGAGAGAAATGCAGAAGAGCTACAATTGTTTTCTTGCGTAATCCTCTTCCGCCAAAGAGAATAGGGGGCAATGCTTGATACCAAGAAGATGTTTCAGAACGCAGAAACGTATCAGAGGTGTCAGAGGCTAGATTGTCATTTGAGAAGAAAAGTCTTGCTAATGGGGGCCCTTTAGATCTCCATCGTTCTTTTTTTGTTTTATTGTTATGTTAATATTTTAAAGTCATTGATATTTTACTTTGCCATTTATCTAGTCCCTTTATACGCTTAACTTATGCTAAAAATTTTGTGAAATTGTTTGACCATGGATAGTTTCTTTTTATTTCGTTGAGCACCTCCTGCTCTAGGTAATATAATATTTTCTCCCACATCATAATTTAGCACTTTCCTGTTGTGAAGCTCACAGTTATACATTTTAACGAGATCACAGCTTTAAAAATACCACTTTTAATTACATTTTCATTCTTTTCAATGAATGAATTGCAAATTTTTTGCCCTCCATTGTATTCGAGAATGGCAGGCGTCGCTATTATGTAAATAGTTTTGTAGTTTTTCATGAGAATTATAATTTAATTAATTTAAGCAAAAATTATGAATTAATGCTCACTATAATAAAGCCGCAAATTAAATTAAATTACAGTTGCATTTTCTTAGTTTTACTGAAATATTCACACAACTCGTCCTCATGCATTAAATATTATGTGAACACGGAATTCCGGTTGAACTTTTAGCAGCCATTTAGTCAAATGAAATCCAAATTTCTCCATGTTTAAATTGCGAGGTGTGAAAGTTTTAACAATTTTAGCAAAGTGACGTGCAGGTACTCCCGAGTTTCAATAGTCAAATGTATATTGCGTTTTAAACTCTAGTGCGTTTATTATATACAGAAATGAATTTTTGAAGTGAAACTTCTTCAGGCGCATGAGGATAAAATTTTTACGGATGAAACGCAATAATAATAATATTAGCTGAGATGTGCAGCGATTTTGTCGAAGAAAAGGGAGAGAGCGATGGAGACCGATTGAGAGAGAGTGAGAAGGGCGAATTACCTTATAAAAATTCTATTTTTAAATTTAAATTTCGTAAAGAGAATTTATGAAATATTAGTATTTTATATTTTATGCAAAATAATTTATTGAAATCTCAAATGACGAATTGTAAATTAAAATGCCACGTGTTTTTATTATCGAAGAAATAAATTTAAAAAATTGAATTTATAATTTATATTAATTTTCGACACTTTTAATATTTTTATGACAATTAAATTCATTAAATTCCTTTCCTTTTTCCCTCCCTCTAAGTCTCGGATATCTAAAGTTTTTGATTTGTATAAATATGAACAAGAGTCAAAAATTAGTTTGCCAAAGAAGTTTAACTCCTGACATGTGTACTTTGTACGGACGCTCATTTTTTAATGTCATTGTGATTAAAAGAGCGGCTCAAACCTAAAGGATTTGTTCGAGCTGTGCACGAATGCATTTTTCTTCCCATGTTCGGATTTGTGAGAGGGCACGTACGATGAGAATCGACGATGTGTCGGTGTCGAGCCCAAAAGGCTGACCACCTTCTTGCCCATGACATTTAACATAGACACAGATGTTATCTTAAGCCTAAAGGTTCTAGCGGCTGTATATTATTATTTTCTATGTTGGAATTTTCCGTATAAATTTTATATAACGGCGTTTACAAAAGAAGATAGATATGAAACATTTTCATATTAGTAGAAACTACTTGGAACATAACGTAACGAAAATAAACACGTAAAACCCGAATTTCTAGAAAACATAATTGATTAATACCTCTTTATTCCCAGAGTCATATTAAATCGAGGTAAATGGGTAACAACGGCAGACGTAATTATGGATAACTGTATTGTAGTAAAAGTGAGATTTTAATTTCCCCCGCTCTATTCGCGAGTTTCCTCCCTCGACTCGATGGCGCCACTTGTTCCTATAGGGATGGTCCTGTTTGTCGATGCCTTTACTCATTTTTATAGTTTGATTATTGAACAAAGATGAAAGTTATAATGAATATTCGTTTGCAATAATTACGACCTGCAAATAAAATATTTAAATATTCTGTATCTATTTGAGGATTCTTGACATTGTACATGATACATCTTTATTAATAATTTGTACTTAATTTTCGTAAAATTATCGTTAGATCAGTTGGACTATTTAATCCATACTTGTACTTAATAAAGATATAATATTACTAAAAAGATACTTTCATTCTCATTTTGCGTTATATTTGTTCGAAACTTTGTGCAAACTAAAATAGTCTGAAGAACGCGAAAAAATCAGTAGAAGGTCTACAGAAGAGCTTAATCGACTCCAAATTAAGTCCCTTAATATATATTTAAACATATTTAAGGGCAACTCGATACACTTGAGGTTCGAAGTACGTCACTAAAACATGGTGTCGACGAAAGAACTCACTTGACATCTTCGATTTTCGTTATTTGCTTTGAGAGTGAGATAAGAATGTTTTCCGTGTATTTGTTTGAGTGTCTTGATTCGTAGCTAGTATAAGATATAATTGAGTAGGATTGAAGTTAAGATATATAAGTACGTATATTAAAATAAATATATGTGTTTCATTTTGGCCTAAGCCACGATGTTAAAGATGAAGAAAAAACGAATCTAAAGCTTCTTATCTAAACCTTTTTTTAATATTTTATACAATCTGTTTCGTAGGTTAAATCCCGTTGCCATGATAACGGACAAGAGCTCAACGATCTTAAACGATTTTCAAAATTTGAATCAAATCTGTTAAGCCAAACAAACAACATATTTTTTGTAGTAAAAATATAATGGTAGACCATTGATAATTTTTACAAGAGACATTGCCGTTTTGTGTTACGCTGTTGTGCGAAAAGAAATAAAAATATCTATCTTGTTGTAGGCAAAAGACCCCGCGCGGCATCCCCTGCCCGGCCCTACTTACCTTTCGACCTCTCACTCTCAGTCGATTTGTCTGCTGTGAAGTGTGAACGAAATTGGTCATGTAATTTGTCCACGCGCAGGTGTCGATTCCTTATGCGCGCGTATTAATCTTAAGTCTTACTAATAAAGAAGTTGTGATTTGTAAAAACTTTATATTAATTACTTAATAATAGATGTGATAATACTGCTAGTAGCTTAAAAACCTAGGTTCAGAAACACCAATAAACTATAGGTAGAAATAAATGTAAATTAATATTTGTTAACAACAAAAATAATTTTTTTACACATCACTAAAATGTAACCGATTAACTGAAGTGCCGCAAAAAGGAGTAAAAACCTTCTCGGAAACAGCCGTTAGTTTCTTACTATTGTATTTGTTTCAAAAGTGACTATAATTCGTTTTATGTAACAAAAACTCGTACGTCATAAAATAATAATTTCCATACAAATAATAATCGTCGTATGCTTCATAAAGTAGATCGACTCATTTGTTATGATATGTTATACTATTATAACACATTTTGAACAATGCTCAAAATTCTTTGATGTCGCCGACACCTCTTCTAGTTCATAGCTTATCACGCGCGCCGCTTCGTGCTTTGCACTTTACATCTAGGAAAGTATTATCTTTTGGGGTAAAGATCATGAAATCATATGATACTACGTATGGTTTTTACATTAAGTTTAATAACTTGTTATGAATTCGACAAGTGAACTGAAATATTTACGTCCCGGTAGGGGTATCCTTTTAATCCTACCGAACTAGCAGTGACTAGCAAGCCAAGCCAATGCGCGGCGTTGCCGTTTTTCACCGATGTCTAGTATGAATGAATTTGCAATGGTGTTAATTTTATTAACTCATTTTACCTCAATTTATTTGTATGGAAAAATGGGTTACTTAATTTTTTACATTATCCTTGTACTGTTACGTTAATATCCATATTGGCATCGTTATGCTTTAAAGTTTAAATAGATAAAAAAATGCCATAACGTATAAAAACGTTTTAGAATACTTTACAAATATATATATTTTCCATCTCTTTTTTAGGCTTTTTATCTAAACACAAATAATCATGGAAGTATAATTTTTAATATTTCATTCATTTGAAATGATATTAATTTTCCTGTTTCAGGTGCGAGTGGGCTGAAGAAGGTTGTGAAGACATTATGTTAACAGAAAAAAATACAATATTGTTTCGTAAGTACTGTATGTGAACGAATATAATTAGAATTATTAGAACAATGTGATAGTTAATACATAAAAACTCACCCAAAAACCAAAACGATTAAATTCAAATGCTATGAGCATCAGTCAAGTGTGAAATATGAAGTTAAGTGTCAGTGCATACCGTGCGCATGCTTCTGCCCATAAGAAGATCCTGACGTCATCCTACCAGCAACACTATGGGAGCACCGCGGCGCCACCTGCGTGTAACCCTTTGCAGACACCTTTTACTCCGCAGGTAAATTATAGCTACAATCTACCTTGGCCTGTGGTTTTTGGTAATTAAGAACAAGAAGTTTAAGAACAATAATCGTGTCTCCCATTACGAGTAAAACCACGAACTTCTCTTAATATGAACCGGTATAGTGCACGCGTTTACATTCGACACACGTAGAAATCAGAATTACTATCATTTGATTAAACCGCGCTGATTTAACAAATCATATTGTTAGCAAACATTTACTACGAGCATTGATACAATCAATAACTTCAATAATATATTCTATTGTGTTAGTAACTTTGCTCATGTACACTTTAATAATAAATGGTAAACTATGAACGATAGCCTAATGCGCGAACTTTATTTGTATACGACAGTAACTACATTATTAGTTATTGACAGCTCAGCATTTTTATTCTATGGATGTTTATCATTCCGATTAGTTTCAACTACGAAAACGTAGCCTGAGTGATTCAATAAATTTTCTTAACATAAAAAATAAATATAACTACTTTATAACATCATGTATGTTTTATAGTAAAAATTACCTTAACGAAAAAGGAAGCGACAATAAAACTCGTCACTAAAGATTCCATAAAGCTAACGAAGTGGCCACGAAATAAAACAGAGCAATGTAATTACATTCTAAGAATTTCCGCCAACTCTTGTTCGCACTCAAAGAGACAGTTACGAACTACGGAACTCTGTTGTAAACCAAAATAAAACGTGCAGGTTTGTGATTTCGTCAGGAGTGAGCCTCTTTATGAGCGAATACAGAGTTGAATTGTAATGTGCTAACATTAGTTTGTATTAATGACCTTGCGGTAAAGGTAACTAAGGGAACAGTCTGAGATCCAAATATATGTTCCGGGCACCGAAGGGCGATCACCTCAAAGCCTCTAAGAAAAATGGTTTCTTGGTTTCTAAATAAATACTTAAAAGTTTTCAAGATCAATTTATAAATCTAGAAAAGATTTAAGTGGCATTCCGAACGTTCTCCAAACAGTGTTGCATAACCTCCACTCGCAAACTCACTTAGGCTCCCAGTACAAAGTATCAAAGTAATATGAAAGTTTTATTGAATATCCAGGTCAACACGTCCAGTTGGGTTGAGTAACTGGACGGTTCAAGATATCGTGTCTCCCTTTACACTTAAACTTTTTGTACTTTTTTATGTAAATAAAAGTATTTTCATAGATTAACATTTGTGAAATATAGATCACATTTTTATCTATATCGATTTAATCTATCATACTTCGCTAGAAGGCTGCAGCGTTGTATAACCTGTGATTAATTACTTCGCAACTTCCTCTGTTACGCTTCAAATTAATCACTATCGGCCACCTACTGAAAATCTATATCCAGAAAATCTAGCACCGCAAGTCATAACATCAATCAATTTTCATAATATTGGTTTCTCAACTCCGTTAAATAAACTTTAAAGTAACTAGAAAATCACAAGCTTAAATTTAAATTTGTTTTGTACTTATCATTTTCTTCAAAAATTTAGTGAAAGAATATAATTCTTTGTATTGTTTCCAAATGGAAATTAATTAACCAACTAAAAATAGACCGTAAATCAAGAAGGCAAGAATCATTACTTTGATAGGTCAGTTGTATCTAGAACCAATCTGAACCATCCGTAGTATTAGTTCGGTCGCGGGCTGGTGAGTGCAGAACAAATTTTGCTACGGGTATAATATGTGGTATGCAACTGCAGCACATTAGATAAGGTGTTCTGTCTCTCAAATAAAGTTAGTCTTGGTTCTAATTTTGGTTGATATTTAACAATTGAATTATAGGATTTATTAAGAACCATTTTATAAAACAATGTTGCAATGACGTTGTTTCTCTAATGATGTTCTGATGATAGAACTGTAGTTTACAATAAAATGTTGTATAAGGTTAAGTGGAATCTTTTGTTTTATATCACATGATTTAAAAATGAATTGAAGTGATCCATGTTTACGAGTGTTACTGAAATCCTTTGTGTTCGTGCTTGAAAGGTTTGCTAAATGTAGGTGAATATGATCGTAAGGTGTGAAATAAGACGCCCTTTGCAAATGTGAGCTACGAACTGGCTTTTGTTAGTACAAGATGTGAACTCTCTCTTGTTAGGCTTGGAAATGCGCTTGTCATTGAAGGATATTTTATTTGAATATGTTTTTATTGAGAAAGCTTATTCAGCCGAAAGTAATATTAAATTTTCGTCGTAATATTAAATATATTAATTATGAAATATGTGACACGTTTTTGCTAGTTGGAGATAGGGACCCTCATAAAGCTATTGAAAGACTACATTCCGATTAACAATATACTAAAGTGGTGCCACGATGCTAAACTAGTACTTTATATTGAAAAGAGAAAAATGCTTATTATACAATCCAATTTTATCTAAGAAGCCACTGGTGTAGCTTTGGTGGCCCACGAACACGCATGTCAACCGTGTGCCCTTCTATATAAATAGTTTTAAAGCATAAATATCTAGGTATAATTATCGACAAAAGCATGCATTGGAATATACTACATATAAGGTCTGTACAACTTACCCAACGCTTCTCCACCGAATTTAAAATCCCCAATTGCGAATCCTCAAACACGTTGTCTTAAGTAGTGCCTCGACTCATATAAAAATAAAGAAAGAGAAGTTTGAAAATATTTCCCATAACAGAAAAATAAAATAAATGTCTTCTAGTTGAGCAATCTTCGATATGACATAAAAAACGAGTTGAGAGAGAGAGAGAGAGACCCGAGCGGTAACGCAAGTTCGGCTCTGTACTTCGAGAGCAAACATATATGGCGAGAGAACGTTGAGGTATTTGCTACTGCGGCTAATAAATGGAGTACCCAGTCAGTTGTTAGATAGCCTAACGTTAACAAACATCAAAAGTTGAAAAACTTCTTTTATATGCATTTATCGCGTTCCTAAACAAGCCTGCTATGGTTATACATACATATTTTATTATGTTATTCTGTAAAAATAATAATTAATGCATAAATACTAATCACAACGAAATCTTAACCTAATCTAGAAGCAGAAAGATTTTCGTTTAATTATGAAAAATTATAAAAATTATACCGATTAAAAATGTACTTAACGATAAACAATACTATATTCCTTAAGCTTTTCCATAAAAAAATAAAGCTGTCAGTAAAACAGCAAAACACTCGGTGTTGATTGCAATATTATGCGGAAGAGATTGGCCATCCACCGAGCCATTTATTCGTTCTGACTGTGACGTGTGGAGTTATTTTCATTAAGTCCGCCTCGGGAATTCCGGACACCACCTAAATGAGCTTTTTACGACGTCTTACATTAAAGGACATGACTTTTTCTTAATTCTAATAGATTCTGTGATTCCAAGAAACATCGCTAATGACATTAATAACGAAACAAATTAGGTGATTATTGTAATTTTACAATTTTCTATGTAAATCAAGACAAAAGTAATAAAGTAATTCTAAGTTAGAATGTTATAAATGTAATTATTATTTGTAATTTTATTGATTTAAGATAAAAATACTTTATATAATGTATAAATAATATAGAAAGGAAACTATTAATTATATATTATGTTGTATTATATTCATTTCATATTATAAGTGAAATTTGAAGCTACAGTTATGAATACAAATGAAGAAGATGATAAAGAACTACACGTTCAGGTAGTAAGGTTATGCAGGCGAAGGAATATGTGCAATCCACCGGTACTCTCTCGCCTCCATGACCTGACTAAATGAACTGATTCTGCAGCAGATGCACAATAATGGGTGAAAGAAGACACTGGACAGACAAAACCATAATAAACCTCGCAGTTACAAGTCTAAGTAAGTAACGACAAATGTTTATAAAAGCCAGAACATTCCGTTGGGAACAGTCCACTTAGAAGCCCTGTTCAACAATTAAACTGTCCCTTATCACTCGAAATTTGATGTGTCGCCCAGCTGCGGCCACGGCAATAACTTTATAGAAATGTGACTAAAACTGCCGATGTGTTTGTGATTTTCGCGACAATTGTTAATAAAGATGGAGATAGTTGTATCACTCGAACCCGCTCGTAAAATTGTTCCCGACATCGTAATATGCCTTCGGTACCATATAGATAGAGTTATATTTACATTATGGAATGTAATACAACATAAATTTTTAACTAATATTCTGCAGTGTGGAGACTAATGACGTATACAAAGATTGAGGTTAAAAAAAGGAATTGGTTTTATAAAACGTATTTAAACTCTCTTTGAGTATCTAGAATTCCTTGATTTGATTCCTTGATCTTCAATAGTATGGTCCATCAGAATTCAGCTAAGCTACGAGCAACTTTAGTTTAAGCTTCGGTTTTAAAGAGCATTATGATTTAGATTTATTCCTTCATCAGTGAAAAGCATAATTTATAATAAGATTTGTATGACGATTGTTTAATTATATCTCACAAATGGACACACATTATGTTATTAAATATATGACAGACAGATGTTCGTCATAGGTTACAAATAAATTGTTGATCACATTGTACCGTGGAAAACTCTCGGGTACATTTGAAATATAAAGTGAAGGGTATTTTTAGCATTTTCCTTTTGTTTCTATATCTTGCAACTTGCATTGCAAACGTGTAGGTACTCTAATGCAAGACGTTGAATATTACATTTTCATTTTATTTTCTCGTTTTCAGTTTCAGGAACACCTTATAATAAAATTAAATTCAAAGCAAGGAAAACGCATTACTTACGATAATGAGAATGAAATGTTTGCGGTGGGCATACGATTAAAAAATAAAAATAAGAAGAAAACGGAGTCTTAATAGATTTTTCTTTTGTGTTTTTATAAGATGCAAGTTACGGTATTTTATGTTTTACTATTTCTATAATACGTTAGTAAAGTTTTAAATACCTATGGTGCACGGTGAGCGTACGACTACGGAATGGAGAAGGTACTAAAGAAATACGAGAATCGCAAAACACACATTTCTGGGTTTGTATGGAAATTATAAAAAATAATGTAGAATGTATTACGCAGCGGAACAAAATGTGTGGATCAAGATTCGTTTTTCCACTTTTTATTAACCTGATGGCATATATTGTTATTAAAAAAATTACATTTTTGATCTTTACTTCATTTTAGTTTTAAAGTAGGTGTTGTTTAAATTGTAAATATCAAGAATCGATATTAAAAGTAATTAATACCTAAAGGGGAATGAATCAATAGAGTACTTTTAGTTTTCCGTTCATACATAAAGTTGTTTTATATTTCGAAGTAATTTAACTGCAAAATAATCAAATATGCTGTCGATCTATTTACGGTTCATTTGATATAGTTGATTATGCAAACACATGTGTTTTTTCACTTCAAAAAAGAAATTCATTTAAAGCGGCAGTATACTCGTAGTATATACTATACCGGCATAGTATTGGTAAGTTAGAACATGTATGTTCATTAACCTAACCTAACCAGACTGACAGACTAACACAAATAACAATAGTTAGTAGACTAACATACATAATAATAAAAGTCAATAATAGATTTTTAAGAAATAAATGTGGAAAATAATATGTCATACGTTTCTCAAAAATATAGCATTTTCCTTTTAATTCTTTTATGATCTGAATTTACATCACAAAATGAGTGCTGGCTACCAAAGAACCATTATGTATGATTAATTTTGTTAACTCATATCACCATGCAATTCGTAAATACAAACCATAATTTGTATTATTTTGTGCCTTTAATTTTCAACAACAATTAAGTACAGTGCCATTCAAAATAACAACGCATTAAAAATTTCTATTTAGTTTAAAAGAGTTTGAAAAGCGAAGCTCGTGGAAGCTCATTTCCAAGGAGTTTTTAAAGCGCTTATCGCGAGCTTCATTGTATTTGGAAAGTTCAAATTAACACAACTTTTGGCGCGGCACCACACAATGTTCTTACTTTAGCTAAGTCATTTCAACGTTAGAGGCTGTTTAAACTTAACCGTGCGACAAATTAGCAATTTTTCTTCATATGTGTCTATAGTGAGTACTTAATTCACGCCACCACAAATCTTTGACAAAATAGGTAATAGCAAATGTCTATTTAACTTCCAATAAAAAAACGAAAAGGACATTTTTATCAAGACCTAAAACTGCTTCAAACTCTGTGGCATTCAGGTTTCAATGCAATTCACTGGGGGATTAATTATTTCCAACGGATGCTATTAAATATCTTCGAGGAAGCTTTTGTAATTCATCAGAGTCGCGGTCGCTATCACATTGTCCTGGAGTCATATAAATGCTATTGTTACGTAAAAATGCAGTTAATCAAACAAGCTGCGTTGCCAAAGGACGAAATCTGGATTTCCATAATATTTTCTATTTCTAGACCAAATCATTTAAAACTATGAAAACGGTAGAGCTTACAAATATCTTGATACTTGATTTAACCCTCTATAAATTTGCCTTAGTGACATTGACATAAATAAAGGCTAAACACGTTTTGGCACTTAGAGGTTAAAAACCCAGCTCATTAGGATTCCCAGTCACCGGCCTCCAGATTTCCATTCGCCTCGGAGGAAACCAATCCCGCTTTCTTCTGATTATAATAAATTACATTTATTAGCACTCTCGCCTCCGATATTCAATTCGGTACCGTTCTATAAAAAGCCTCGCGAAATAAGAATTCCTTTTATATTTTCGAATCCAACAAGTGAATGTTGAATTCGTAATGACACTTAATCGTTAATTGAGCACGGTTATTTTTTATTTTATATTTTTTTTTCAACGCTTCGTTGCACTAAAATATAAAAATTGAACATAATTAAATGAAAAGGAGGGCAACTGGCGGCCTTATCGCAGTCGAGCGATCTCTACCAGGCAACCACTGTGAGAAAAGAAAAAAAATGTATTAAATTAGATAAGGTAGGCAGGAAGTAATAGTAGTTATTTAAAAAAAAACTAAACAGGAACAAAAAACAAACTAAACTAATAAAGGATACATGAAAAATAAAAAGTAAAAAGTGCACATGAATCACGATAATTTTAGATCAGTTTCACATCAGTTAGTACGAAAGTTAGGGATACGACGTGGACAGGTAATGTTTGTACAGAAGAAATTTAAAGGAAGATAGAGAAGGAGCTAAGCGAATAGGGACAGGAAGTGATTTCCATAGCCTCACTGCAGAGACCTTAAAGGGTTCGCCAAGAAGAGTTATGAGATTACTTGAGCACCTCAAATTGATATTTTAAATTCGCTTACTTTTTACTATGGGTAATAATAAAGTTATTTTGTATTCTTTATTTTATTTTAGTTAAAAAAAATACTTTTAAAAGTCTCTTTAAAAAAAACTATATACCTATATTTTAATAAATATCTCTCCTCATCCCGTTTACCTCAGTTATTGTCCAATATCGACACCGTTATGAATAGAAAAGCTATAAGAATAAATTGAGGCATGAATAACCCTCCCTATTACTTAGTAATATATTTATTCGCTATAGCTATTATACATTTTGAAAGTTGGTTTTGTATTTTAAATACGTTATTATTATTAACTTATGTTGTAAGCATTCTAATTCGGGTCCCGGTTTGACTATCGCAACAGTAACACGTACGTCAGTGATCTCCGCTATATTAATTGTTCTCTTGTGCTATTAAGAATCTACCAAGTGACTACAAAACAAAAAACAGTCCAACAACTAAAAAGGATCATAACAAGATAAAAACATAGTGTGAATAACGCAGTTCAACCAGAAAAGTGTAAAACAATACTTGCTAATACTATAACCTACAAAGTGCAATGCAATATAAATAGACTTGGTACCAACATAATACAAGTCACACGTAATGTTGAGAGACGGTGTATGTAAAGAAGATTGGTATATTAGTAATACGAAACAATGTCCAAGTGAATAAAAGGTGTAAATACGTACAGAAGTGTGCTTAGCGAAATAGTGGAACCAAAACAAACAAATAAAAAAAATAAAAAATAAAAACTACTAAAATCGAACAAGGAAAAGAAGTGGACATTATCATCGGAGGACAGTAAACTACCTGAGGATAACATTTCCGCAATAAACATTATAAAATTATCAGAATATAATTAACTGTTAGTGAAAACAAAATAACTGCTGTGCAATTTATTTTACAAAGTTTAACATCGCCGAATAATAGGAGATTGGACATTAGATTTAGTTAATTTAGGACATTAGTTAATTATAGTATAATATAAAAACATTAACTAACTATGTACATCTTCGTATCTTTATACTTGTATCATAACAAATAAATATTGTTAGAATATAACATAGGGTTAGTGTTGGATACTAAAGTTTTGTATGAATTAACGTGAACACCAAATTCGGTACGGTAAATATAATTAAAAGAATTACTAATCAATTTCTCGACGAACGGTATTCTATATTGTAATATTTGGGTAGGTACCTATAACAAATGAATGCTTCGCGTTCATCATAACATTATTATTTGATAATATATATACTGATAATTGATAGTACATATTATTATTTTGAAAAACATTTTATTTCATTTTTTTTTGACGCACGACCTGTTAACACATATACGCTAACATGTTTAAAACACCACCTAAAGACTTGGTAAAATCCAAGGACTGCACTCATGAAGCAGGTATGTCAACAGAAGAATCGCAGGTTCTGCGCAGCATGAGGGAACAAGAAAATAATATAATTGAGTTGGACGCTAAACAAATGACAAGAAAGACACCAGCTTCAGCCAACAACCCAATAAAGACGTGGATCCTAAATTCTCAAGTGTCTCCCAAAACGAAGACCCCTACGAGCGAGGCGAAAATCTTATACACGACCATCAAGAGTACAATCAGCAGTTTGAAATTTACAAAAATGGAACTAAAAGATAAAATTGTAAGCGCCGCGGAAAGACTTTTTGAACTTGTCAAGGAACAGGAAAAAACTAATGGTGACATTACAGCACGGGTCGATACGGGTCAACTTCTTGGAGTGGAGCGGTTAAAAGAAGTAAACACGCTAAATACGGAATGTGGCAACGACGCAAGGAGCTCTTATAAGAAAAAATACGATGTATTGCAAACTAATACGGATGACGATATTATATCATCAATTAATACTCAAAATGAACACCTAATAAAACACTTAAATAAAGAGGACATGGGGGCTACAGTAAAGTATCGTAGAAGAGCTAGGAACTCGCATACGAATCACATAATTGTACAAGTTTCTCCTCCATTGTGGGGAATACTAACAACTGAAGGTAAAATGAATATCGACTTGCAAAGGGTTAAAGTTATGGATCAATCACCCCTGATACAATGCTCGAAGTGCCTAGGATACGGGCATGGTAGGCGATTATGTACAGTAGAAGAAGAAAACTGTTCACACTGTGGTGGGCCTCATAAAAAGATCGATTGCGATAAAAGCTGCGATAGCAGTGTTTGACCACGACTTAAAAGTTGAACAGTACCCTGAACTGACCACAAACAATATTGTGGTAGTTAAAATTCACACAGGTGCGTGGGAAATGGTAGCCGTCTCTTACTACTTTGAACCTTCCCAAAAACCCTTGGTGCCATACCTAGACCAACTAGTTAAAATCAAAGGCAAATTTAAACGCAACTTAATTTTTGGAGGAGATGCAAACGCAAAAAGTGTCTGGTGGGGCAGCTCAGTAATTGATGAAAGGGGAGAAGATGTGGCTGCAACACTGGAACAATTAGAAATACAAATTTTGAATCAGGGAGACACCCCCACATATTATACCATACGAGCCAATAAACAATATACCAGTTTTATAGACGTAACGGCTTGCACATAAGAT